ATTCGGCCAATCACAATGCACTGGATAGCTGGCCAATCAGAGCACACCTCGCTTTTCAGACTGATGAGCTTTGTAAAAATCGACGCGTTTCAGAAAGGCGGGGCATAGAGGAGAAACAATAATGTACAGTATGTGGAAAATAATGTGTTTTTTGAACCTTAAACCGCATAAACACATTTCATTACACCAAATACACAAAATAATGTTCTTTAGCAACATCATATGACCCCCTTTAACATCTATTTATTAATTAGTTTAATAATAATTAAAATAAATGTCTTAATATTTCTCAAATAATTAAAGAAAAACATTTCAATATTAATTAAATTCATAATATTTTATCATCAAGAAAATAATTTTTTTTATATTTCTCAAATAAATAAAAACATTAAATATTAGTTACTTTAAAAATTATTTATTATTAAGAAAATAAAACTCAGTATTTATTTTCTTAAATATTAAGTTAACATTTTCTTACTATAACAATAAACATTTTCATAAATATATTTTTAGCATAGGAGATCATGATCCGCACTCACGAAAACACCTTTTCCCCTCAACTAAGTAAAGATTTTCTTTACTATATAAATAATAAATCTATTTTTAACAGTTTGTTAAACTTCTCGACTCATATTCTTATAAGTAATAAGAATTCATAAAAATAATTTATTAAGAAAAATCTGAATTATTTTCCTGAATATTAAGAAAGTAAACAGCTTCTTAATATTAAAATATTTCATAATAAATATATTTTTAACAATTCAAGAGTTTACATGAAGTTTTCAAACTCATTAAACTTGAAACGATGTGAAATTAAAAGTATTTAGTCATGACGTCTCACCTTGAGGATGCAGGGAAGGATGGGACCCACATACGGGGTGAATTTGTTTGATCAAATTAATGCATCCTTGCTGCATAAAAGTATTAATTTCTTAAAAAAAAAAAAAAAAAAAGTTTTTTTTATTGGCTCTTCCAATCTGAAAAACCTGAAACATTTGTTTATAAAAATTTAATTCAAACTTCATAACACCAGCTTCGGTGGAAAAAAGGAAACCGAAGTTATCAACCTGTTAAAGCGCACACATTAGTGACAATATTTAGGATATAAAACAGCACAGCTATGTTCACATCAGTGTGATTTCCCACCTTCTGGTCAGTAAGCGAGTACATGTTTCCGATGATCTGCGCGGCCATCTTGCGTGTGTCGGTGGAACGGTCCTGAAACGCTCTCTGGACGATGGGCATGATCAGAGCCAGAGACGGAGCGTCGATGAAGTGCACAAACTTGGTGTCCAGCAGCGTTTGCAGGCAGTGCTGCGTCTTATGAGACGGGTCGGTCAAAGCGTCCAGCAGGATGGGGGTGATCGCTGTCCAATTCACAATATAAGTTCAGTGATTATGTATGGATCGAACCTTAAACGCTTCCATTAAAGCCCCACTGTGCTACACCTTCCATTCAAACCAAAAAGCATTTAAGCAATAATATTTCATACCCAGGATCTCAGGGTTGCGGATGACTGAGCCGATCTGTCGGAGCGCTTGCTGACCGGCCTTCTGCACCTTCACGTGAGAGTCCGTCAAAACCTCCGTCAGTTTGGGAACGATGTTCGGCAGACACGAGGACAGCTGCTTAGGAGCGCAGTACGCCATCGCACCCAACAACTCCACCGACCCTACAGACACAGACACGAGTATTACAAATAATACAAAAGCATTACACTTCTGCATTTCCACGTGAAGCACTTATAATGATTAATAATAATTATTATAAAAAAAACGTATAATCTTATAAAAAAAAAAAAACAATGTCCTGCACTTCCTTATAAGGCAGTAATAATGATCAATAAAAAATAATACTAATAACAAAAACAAAAAATGTAATAATTAAAAATACTACTACTAAAATAATAATAAAATAAAAACAATAATTTCAATTTTTTTTTATAAAATACAAAAATAATAAAATAACGATCTGCATTACCCTGTGAAAGTGATAATGATTAATAAAAAATAATCATAAAAATGAAAAACTATACTTAAAATAATTAAAAAATATTATAATGACAAATAAATAATGTAACGTATGTAAAAAATATAATACAATAAAAACAATTAAAATAAAATTGCTATTAATATAAATAATAAAATAAACAATGCTATGCATTTTCATGTGACAGTGATAATGATAATTAATAATAGTAATAACAATAATATTAATAATTAAATATTTACAAAAAACTATCAACATAATTAAAATAAAATATACTATAACAAAAACATAACAATAATTAAAATAAATCTATAATATAATAAAAGAATGATAAATAATAATTATTATAATAATAATATAAAATAAATAACATTTAAAGAAAATATTATTATAATAATTTAAAGAAAATATACAATATTAAAAAAAATA